CCCACCACTACAGCCTGCGCTTCTCCGCTGACAGCGGTGCCTTTGCCCTGTTCCTGCAGTTCCCTCCCGCAAACAGGCTGCTCTCCCCCGAGACCGGAGTCAGCGTCTCTGCCCACAACGTGGTTGTGGAGCTGGCCAAGGCCCCCGACAGCACCGGGCCCTGGGAGAAGTTCAGCTTCGGCCTCGACCCCTCCGCTCTGCAGGTAATGGCTTCAAAGGGGCAGGTTTGGGGTGTCCCCTCCCCGCAGAGCCGCTGCTCCGCTGCTGGGTGTGGCTCATGTTTGGCTTCGTTGGTGAGCGGCGTCTCGGGGAGGTGTGAGGTTGAGTTCAAAGCTATAGAGACAGAAGTTGCTTCCTCCGAGAGCTGCTCCTGCATGTGAATGGAGTGGCCTGATTTGAACAAATCTTGTCCAAGGTCACATCACGGAGCTGACGCCTTCATCCTTGGGTTTGCAATGACTTCTGCCTCCCACACTGACTTTTTTCTAAGGGAAATTGTGGTGATAAGTGAAAACAAAGCCTGCCCTGACCTTTAAGTCCTTAGTGTTCACTTTTAACTCAAGTAAATTGCTTGTGCAGCTTGTTCACACAAAGAAAGGAGATGTTTATGGTATACCAGACGTACACTCGTGCATACACTGTCATGAAGTGTGGATGGAGGGTCCCTGTGTCTGTATTTTGGGACAGAATCCCCACTTACAGCAATGGGAATACCCATTAGTTCAACCAGAGCAGAACAGCAAACAGCAGCTGTGAACTGTCCATTTTGCTGGGATAAATCTTCACCTTCCCTTCCTCCCTGTCTGGATATGATTCCAGTTTAGTGGTTTATGATTTTATGGGTCGTTTGGCAGTGATGCTCTCATGGTGGGAGAAGGTGGGGTGGCTGCATCCAGGTGACAGTGCCACCTGGGAGCTGCCAGTGTCCCCAAAGGGATGCCCACCTCGTGGCACTCTTGCTGTCCAGAAGCACTCACACAAGTTTTGTGGAAAACCATGTTATTCTGTAAGCTCAGAGTTTCAAACAGCTTCTCATGAGCAGGGATTAAGGCTGCACGGCTCTTGTGTAACCTTCCAGTCATGGGATTTGAAGTTTGGCTTGATTTTAGAGCAATAAAATCCTTTGCATTTTGGATCATGTGCTGTGGGAGTGCAAGTCCAGAAAGCTGGCAGGCTTCAAGTATATCCACTGGGATGGACTTGCCTTGGAGCAGCTTAATTGCTCCTTCCCTACCACTAGAAATTACTTGTGCATGATTTTGAAAGATATTTATCCAATTAGTGTTTGTGCAGCTGAAACATCACACTTAATGTCCCATTTAGCAGCTGCACACCTTCTATAACAGCAATTCCTGTGAAGGGGGAGCTGATCATTTCGGGGAAGTATCAAAGATGATGAATTTATGGAGAACCACCCACGCTGAGCTGTTTGCAGAGCATTTCCTCTGCTTTTAGTGGAGCAGAAGCCTTGCAAGTCTGTGCAAGTGGGGCCACAGAGCCCTCAGCACTGCTCTTAGTGGCTGGAATCGGGCACTGGGTGCTGCTGCCACGTCAAATAAGCCACTGTGTGAACTACTGCCTGTTTTCTGCACAGGGACAGAGCCTGCCCAGGGCAGTGGTGGAGTCTCCATCCCTGGAAGTGTTCAAAAAACGTGTGGGTGTGGCACTTGAGGACATGATTTAGTGATGAGCATGGTGGTGGTGCAGGGTTGGTGGCTGCTCTAATGGTTTGTGTGCATTTCTTATTACAACTGGGGGAATATGTTGTGATTGGAAGTTGCTAAAAGGCCACTCAGTAATGAGATTTTGGTTTTGTGAGTTAAAAAAAAACCCTTGAATGTGCTGATTTTAGTATATATGTTGCAAAACGTTTTGGGTGGAGTAGGAGGAAGAGATTGGGCATTAGTCATAGGCTTCCCAGCCATTCATTCACGTAGCAGACTCCAAAAGATTCTCCTGGCATGGAGTCCTTTGGACACTGGGCCTGCAAACTGAGGAGAAATAAACTGAAGTCATTTGTTCTGTTTGCTTGCTTTAAACTGATATTCCCCCAAAGTGCCTGTGCCAGCACTGAGAGCTGCACTCACTCAGAGTGAAGGGAGAAAAATTAATATTTAATTACAGCTACTATTATATGCTGCCTTCTGGCCATTAACTATTTGCTCCTGGTCGCTTTTCTTCTACTTCTGTTGATTTCTTCAATTTGTCTGATGTAATTTTGGATGTTTTTCTGCTTTGGCTCTCATTCTATAAATCAGAGCTGTTGTTCTTGCACTGAGACCTATAACGAGTTGCATCAGTCATTGCAGAGTGCACAAAGCAGGCCCCTGTTTGATCCCTTCAAGGAGCTTTTGGTGGCTGAGGGGAGCAGGAATTTTATCCTGCACTTCCCAGTGTGCTTGTTCATCATCTCTTCTCCCACAGCAGCGTTGCCAGAGGACAATGCATGGCAAAAGTGAATCATGGAATCAGAGAATCCCAGGATGGTTTGAGTTGGAAGGGACCTTAGAGCCCATCTCATTCCACCCCCTGCCGTGGGCAGGAACACCTTCCACTAATCCAGGTTGCTCAGAGCTCCATCCAGTTTGGCCAGTGTTTTTCTTAACAGATATAGAATTCCTGCTCTGCTATTGTCTGGGAAGTTGCTTCCTACTGGAGACTGAGGGTTGTTGTGTTGTTTCATGGAGCAAATTCCTCTGGGTTAGTTCAGAATCTGCCCCTCACTGGAAACCTGTGCCACAGTGGCTCTTCCACCACCCTGGGCTGCTGCCCAGTTCTCTCCCATTAACTGCCAGTTTCTTCTTGGAAATTGGTCTGATGCAGATACTGGTAGGAGAATGAACTGAGCTTGTCCTTGGGACACTGTGCTTGAAACAGAATTTCAAGGACTGCTTTTCCCTTTGTAGTCATCTATGGCTAATCCCTGTGCTGGAAGATGACCCGTTTAGAGCTCAGTTTCCACAGATGCTGAGCAGTTGGAATTTCCCACCCTTACCTCTTTTCAGGAAATCTTTACAGTGCCACAGTCCCCCCTGGACTTTAACTGTGAATAGTTTCACTCCTTGGCTAAACTATAATGTCCACATAGCAGTTGGACTTGATGATCTTGGAAGTCTTTCCCATCCTAAATGATTCTATGACTTGTTGACCAGAAATCCTATAAAAATAAAGATTCCATAGCTTGGGGCATCATGGACCAGGGTCACATATTTCAGGGGTTTAAAGGTGACCTTTTGTCACTGCCCTGGTGCTCCATCACTGCACCAGAGACCACACAGCACTGATCCTTCTGCAGGGCTCGCTCCAGACCCTGTTTTTCCAGGGAATATCCTGAGGAAGCTTCCTGGCTTCCCCATTGCCAAAAATCACTGTCTGCTCTTTGCCTTGAAGGACCAGCCATGGGCTGTGCTCCCTCCATTGCAGTTCGTCCACTAATACCTGGTACATCTTTTCCTTAAATCCTTAAATTCAGGCCTGGGAAACTCCTGCATCAGAGAGTTGCCCTTCATTTTGAGACAACACAGCCTGGAGAGTAAATGATGAAGAAAGAATGGTTAAGAGTTAAATAACCATTAATAAAATTTGTAAGCCTGCCAGGCAAGGTTTGTGAGAACAGCATGTCCCAGTGTGTCCTGGTTTATGGTAGAGCAGGAGTTGGGCAGTGATGGAAATCGTGCCTTTGGAAAGCACTGTCTTGGAATGTTTGGCCTCCTGGGGTTAAATGCTCAGTTCTTAACAGAAATAAAAAGCAGTTTTCTAGTGGGTGTATTGAACTCCTGAGACTTGGAGGCTCAGTTATCAGAGCATGTGAAACACGTGTGGTGGCTAATTAATTCTGCTGGCAGTTTTGGGGTCGTGTGTGCTCATTTTCATGGGATTAGAAAAAGATTGGGTCACGTAGGAATTCCCTTTCATGCTGATCCACACCCTTCCTGCCCCTCTCAGCGGCCTGGAGTGAGTTAGTTCACAGGATGTGTGCTCATTCCCTGGTCAGTGCTTCTCCCTGGGAACCCCTCACTGCAGGAGGAATCACAGCCAGACCATCCCTTTCCTCATAAACTCCCATCTCCTCTTAGGGAGAATATTAAGATTTAACTCACATAAACCCCCCGGGGCTCCAGAGAACAGCAGGGGAGCAGAGGAAAACAGAAATATTTCCTCTGCTTTCCTATGCATTACGTTTTTTTAACATTTACAGTCTGAAAAATATTATACTGAACATTCCTGAGGAGTTCATGGTTGGAGCTAAGCGTGAGTTATGCTGTTTGTGAGGTATCCAAACAGGAATTGCACAGCAACATGGAAGCTTTGTTTAACTTCTCTGTGAGCGTTGATGCATCCATGGAGCATGTTTTGGGTGGGTGTGATTTTTCTGCTTGCCACAGCCACCAGTGTCTTGTGAAGGAGATGTTTTGGAAGCTTTTGGTGCTGGTAAAATAAGATGTGGACCCATTGGAGTGAGTCCAGAAGAGGCCACTAGACTGGTCACAAGGCTGGAGCCCCTCTGCTCTGGGGACAGGCTGGGAGAGCTGGGGGGTTCACTTGGAGAAGAGAAGGCTCTGGAGAGACCTGAGAGCTCCTTCCAGGGCCTAAAGGGGCTCCAGGAGAGCTGGAGAGGGACCTGGGACAAGGGCTGGAGGGACAGGACAAGGGGAATGGCTTCCCAATGCCAGAGGGCAGGGAGAGATGGGATATTGGGAAGGAATTCCTGGCTGGGAGGGTGGGGAGGCCCTGGCACAGGTTGCCCAGAGAAGCTGTGGCTGCTCCATCCCTGGAAGTGTCCAAGGCCAGGTTGGCCAGGGCTTCACCACCTGCACAGGGGAGAATTTCTTCCCAATATCCCATCTAAATGTAAGTCACCTGTGTGTGGCTGCAGGTGGCAGAGCTGTGTTGTTCCCAGCACAGGGAACATGTGGAAAAGGCTGTGGGCTGGATGTGCTCCTGTGGGCTCACTGCTGGGCCGTGCTGGAGCTGTCCTTGTGCTCAGTGATCTTGGAATTAGGGCCCTTGTGGATAAATGTTTTTCTTGGTTTGAGAGTCAACCAAGCATGAAACCCAGAGAGCCATGTTGGGAAGCGTAAGACACGGATGTTTTACGGCTTTGCCACTTTTCAGGGAGAAATCCATCCTGGAGAGCTCTTCTGCCCTCATTTCCAAGCTGTTTGGAGTTGTTACATGCTTTCTTTGAAAGTCAAGGCTATAATTTTCAATTTCCAAGCTACTATAAAGACTTAATACAATAGTCAGGGGTCACTTCTAAGAACATGCTGCTGGAAGCTGGGGCTGTTGTGTGTAATCCTACAACAGTTTATTTTTGGTTCAGTTAATTCTGTGCTCATCATTTCAAGACTCTTGGCAAGTTTTTGGGGAGGTCAAGGAAGGACAGAGAAGGAGAACAGAACAAACTTATTATTTCATATTTTTCTGAGTAATCTCCTTCCCAAGCTGCATTAAGAACCATAATTAGTTTGCTTCTGCTATAAAACAAACTAATTTCTGCATAGCCTTTAATTGGTAGCTGCATTTTGGGAATAACATGTCTACACAAAACATTTATGTCAGGAAACATTATTAACCTACTGATTAAGCTCATCAAAGCTCCTTTTGAGCTGTTTAATCTTTGCAGTCATGAGCTCCTTGGAAAAGTTTTCACCCCACTACAGGTAGTAAAATTTTGAGCTTCAAATTCTCATGTCGAGCTGGTTTGTGCTGGGACCCTACAAAGCCAGAGGCCAGGAGATCCACAGATCCAGGTCCCTTTCCATATTGAGTTGGTGGTTGTTCCTGGAGAGGATACGTCTGCCCCATCCCTGAAAGTGTTCAAGGCCAGCTTGGAGCAACCTGGTCCAGTGGAAGATGTCCCTGCCCATGGCAGGGGGTGGGAACGAGATGGTTTTTAAGATCCCTTCCCACCCAAACCATTCCATGATTCTGGGGTTCTCTGAGCTTCTCATTGCAGGAGGCACACAAATAATTTAAACCCGAAATCTGGGCTGCTTTTAAAACTGTTGCAGCCTGCGTGGGAGGTAACTCTGGATGGAAATTGGCTACGAATTTGGATAAAGTGAGGCAGAATAAACCCGTTTGATTGCCGAGGGCAGCCGTGAGGGGCCCAGCTTTGCACCGTCCGTGCTGTGAGAGACAAGGGTGGCTTTGAGTGATGAAGTGCTCTAGAAACCAAAGTCCTTCCTGCTAACGTTTATGTTAATTTGGTCTCAGTTTAGTCACAGGGAAAAATGAATGTGTACCAAACAGCAGATGACAGTATGTGCAGGGAGAAACAAATTAAATTGGAAGTTGCTAAGAGAGGATCATAAATACCAGAAAATAAACGGTTTAAGCCGACGAATTATTTTACAGGGTCATTGAAATCATCTGCAGATGGTTGTCCTCTGTTTGCTCTGGCTTGGAAGGCAGAGCAGGCTTTAGAATAAATGCCTGAGTCATTTTTTTCCAAGGTCTAGGCTTTGATAACATCTGCAGTAATATAAATGCCTCGGCGTGTGCTCCCTGTGAATTCAAAGTCTGAGTTACAGTCTCAGGCTAATGATAATCACCTTAGTGACAACAAACACATCCAAGGTGCTGTGATTTATGGCAGGCCATGGGGTAGGACTGGGATAAAATGTTAAATACTTATGGGAGTGAGGTGTTGGGCTGGAATGAAACTTTATAGCAATCGGTCAAAATTAACAGAACATCACAAGTGGTTACTTTTTATCCTCGTGTTAAGTACTGATTAATCATGGAATGTCCTGAGCTGGAAGGGACCCACAAGGATCATCCAGTCCAACTCCTGGCCATGCACAGACACCCCAACAATCCCACCCTGTCCCTGAGAGTGTTGTCCAAACCCTCCTGGAGCTCTGGCAGCCTTGGGGCCGTGCCCACTGCCCTGGGGAGCCTGGGCAGTGCCCAACCAGCCTCTGGGGGAAGAACCTTTTCCTGACAACAGACCTTCCATTCAGTTTTTGTTTTTAATAGTATTTACTGGGAAGAAAACAAATTCTTTTACTTTTAATCGGGAAGAAAATCTCCAGAAAGATTTCTTGGGTTTGTTGCCAAAATGCAAAGTCCTGATTGCATCGAGGACTGTCCCTCCCTCAGGCAACCACGTGTGCCAGATGCAGGTTCAGAGGGAAAATAGACTGTTTTCCCCATTTTGTGTAGGAAATGTAGGATGGGGCTTGGAACGACCTGGTCTAGTGGAAGGGTGTCCCTGTTTCTGTACTCTGACACCTTCTCTTGGAGTCTGCAGAGTATTCCCACAATCCTGGGGCACTGGCAGGTCCCTCTCTGGCAGGCAGGAAAAGGATATAACATTAGGGAATAACTATTTTAGGCTTTGCAGACAGAAATGCAAGGAGTAGGTATGTTATGGGAGGGTTTTCTGTCAGGGCAGCCCTGCTGTACTTTAATCTTCCCCCAAACAGTTTCAGCCTCCAAAGCTGGCTCTTTGCCTGGATTGTAATCTTTCTGGATAGAAAATGAATTCAATCCTCTGGCTTGGAAAACCAACAATATCTATGTTATGACTTTCCATATTGTGATTTCTAATTTTAATAGTGGAAAAAGTAGGACGCTGGGTTATTTTTCCCATACTGTTTGGGTTTTTTTTTTTCAAGATGACAGTTAAATTTTGTACCTCAGACACAATGTGACATCTGGCTGTGCATAAGGCTATGTCCACAGGGGGCCAAAAATGTGCAGAATTGCCTTTTTTGCTTCTCAGTCTGCAAGATGTCAGTGATAATTGAATTTAACTTCCTTTGGATTGACAAGAGGGTTGAACTGGACCGAGAAATTTTAAAGTGTGACTTAAAGTGGAAGGTTTGCAACTTCTCCCTGTTACTTCCAATTAAACAGGAAAGGTAATTCCCAGAGCACAAAACACTCCTCTAGGTCAGAACATTTTTATTGTGCCAAAGTCTGTCCTCACCCTCAGCCTACACAGATGATTTAGGAATAACACAAGCACGGGGAAAGCTCTGCAGTTCTTATGAAACAGCCCCTCCAGGAGGTGTTTTAGGACCTTTAATTACCTGTAACTGATTTAAATCTTTAAACCTGTAGCAACATGTTTCACATTGTTTATGAACTGCATATGAAGGGCCTGGAAACACACCCCAGGCTGTCCCTCTGCCTCTGGATAACTCTCCTTGTTTTCCAACTGGCTTGTCTGCATGGAGATCTGAGCAGCCTCCCTGGCTGGGTGTGAAATGGATACAGCCCTGCGTGTTCCATGTCTCATCTTGGAGCTGAGGGTTCACAGGTCCCGCGGGGACACTCCAAGGAGGTGTTTGTGTTTTCCCAAGCACATGAAACAAACCCATAACAGTGTCACACCTTCCTGGTGTTAAGCCAGGTGAGGACAGTGGAACAATGTTGGTGCAAATCATTCCTCAGAGAGAGTCTAAATCTGTATATTAATCACGTGTCCATAGAGAGAAAGCACTTTTCTTTTATATTTGGTGTGATGCTGATCTGTGATTTCAATCCACATGAGCTAAGCACTGCTCTTCATCCATTTCACCTCGTTACTCTGAATGTCTGGCTCAGAATTTCTCTATCAAGGCATGAATGAGCTGTGAAACTTGTGAAGTGTCTTGGCTTTCTTTGCAGTGAGTTTTTAGCCCAAATATCACTAAAGTTTAGCACAAAAAGAACATAACCTGCTCTTTCTCTTTTTTTTTTTCCTTTAGGAAAGATTGTTTGTCACTGAAGAGAACATTGATGGATTTCTAGGCACTGCTTTATGCCCTTCTTCTTGCTCCCAATCAGCACTGGAAAGCCAGCCATTAATTGAAGTGCTGGAGGTTTCTGAGGACAGAATTCAAATCAGGGTGGAGGTGAGGATCTCTGGGAGCAGCACACGCTCTGGCTGATTTATGTTCTTCAGCAAGATCCTATCAAATCCCACTGATACGTCTCTGTTCCTGTTTTGTCTTCACAGAGTGGGGAAAAACCGAGAGTGGGGTTATTTAAAAGTAGAACTGTCAATTTTCAGAAGCCCAGGTTGTGTTTGTGCCATTTAACGTGACCAAGGGATTGAAACCTCCTATATTTCACTTGAAAAAGGAGAACTGTGATCCAGTCTTTAAAGACAGTGCTTTCTCCTTGTAGGAATACTTCACTCTCTCAGCCTTGTACAGGCAGAGAAATCCTAGAGGATTTTGTCTGGGAAGAATCATGTCTCCTTATCTTTATTCAGTCCAAGCATTTGAATACTTGAGGGGTTCCTGTTGTGTAGATAATTAAACATGAGGCTATTAATCTTAAACACTGGTCTCAAATTCACATTTGTAATGTTTCAGGCCTCAGTCAGGCCACTCTTCTTCCTCAGTCACCCTGTCTACATAGAGGATGCAAGACAGGCTGTTTCTGGGATCTGTCATGGGATTCAAATGTGCTCCCGTTGCAAAACAGATGGACAGAAGAAGAAACCAAAATGTTAGTTTTGCAAAGAGGGAAATGTAAAGCCCCCCACATTAACTGGGATTTCTTGGCAGGTACTGCATCAGAAATTCAGATTAAACTTTTCTGAAAGGAAACATAAAATGCAGGGACAGTCAGGTCACTGCTGTGGCCGTGAACTGGGGTCTGCAGACAGAGTTAATGTGTAGGTGGCCTGTTTGGAGGCAAGTTCAGACAAAGAACATGACCTTTGGAACCAGGCTGGAGGCCCCAGGAGTTTTTCAAAGGTAGTGGCTTTACTTGGCAGGCTTAATATGTGTAGCTAGTGCGGATTGTACATAAAAATCTAAAATTCAAAGTGTTGGAAAGCAGATCTGTGTGTTTTGGGGCCTAAGAAAAGGCAGCTGAGATATCTTAAATCATCACACTCCTGGTGCTGTGCCGGGACAGCAGTTGGAGTCAATGATCCTTGTGGGTCCCTTCCAGCTCAGGTTGTTTGTTCCATGATTCTGGGTCTATGTGGGAGAATCATCCAGTTTGAAGAAGGACTTACTGCTGGTGCTTTTGTCTCTTGCTGGAGTGAGCAGAGGTTTGGGGTCAGAGAGGGCTGAGTGTGTGAGAGAGCAGCTCTGTCTAAATCCATGAATCCAGCTGCTCCTGGACAGATCCCTGCCTGATCCTGACTGCCCACTGAGCTAAGAGCAGCCTTTTGCAAAAACACTCAATAATGTTGAAACTGGGGAACTGCCATTTAGACAACACCTCTCACAGTTCCTCCTCTCCTGAGGCAAACCATGGCAATTCCTGGATTAGCTCCACAGGCCGGTAATTTCCCTAATTGCAAGGTTCAAACACGCTCCTGCAATGAGAGTTCAGATCCCTTGGCTGATTTTGTGGCCCCTGAGATCTGGAAAACAGGCTGGGTGTGGTGAAAGGCCTTTCCTAATCCTGCAGCCACGGCGGCTGTGGTGCTTGGCCGCTGCCCAGCAGCTTTTCCTAGAGCAGAGGAAACCCTCGGGAAGTGAGCAACCTCCCTGCCACTCATTCCCACGCGCCAGACAAGAGCAGGAAAACCCCAGCACCGGGCTCACTTGGCTTTGTGGAATAGAATCACAGAATCACAGAGTCATAGGATGGTTTGGGTTGGAAGGGACCTTAGAGATCAGCCAGTTGTGACCCCCTGCCATGGACATTCCACCAATCCAAGTTGCTCAGCTGTTGGAGGAACAAGTGTCTCTGCTGTCTTTGCAGCAGTTTTGTGGGCACGGTTTGTTTCAGCTGCAAAATAACTCATTTATTTCCTTGACAGCCACAGGAACGTGATGGAGAAGGAACACTTGGCAGCTCAGGGGGAGACCTTGCTGGAAAGACCAACGGTGACTACCCCGAAACAAAGGCAGAAACAAACTGCCCTGCAGCTGATGGAGAACGTGCTGCAGGAACCAACACGGCTCCCACAGCTGAAACAATAGGAAAAGTAGGTTGTAGTTCACACCATTGTTTGGAGCACGAACCTCCTGACACCAGTTCAGCGAGTGCCGGTGAATCTGGGAGAAAGGAACCAGATTTAGAAAGTGCTGCCGCAGCAGGCGACACGGCCCCGGCCCCGGGCTCTGCAAAACAAGGAGAGCTTCTGCCAGGGGGGCAGGAGGCAGTGGAAGGGCACGAAGAGGCTGAACCCCCAGGGCTGGACAGCAGGGCAGCCTCCCCTCTCCTACGAGAAGTGAACCTTGAGGACGGGAGCGTGTGGGTCCTCAGGGATCACGTAACGCGCTGCCCCGTCGTGTTTCAGAATTCCTTGCTGTATGAGTTGGATTAGTTTAATGGGTTTAGGATTTCCTTCTGTTGTTTGATGCCTTTTGTGACTTCCACGTGCTGGTGGGTGACTTCAGGCCTCAGAGGTCCCCACTGGAACTGTTTCAGCATCAAAACCTTACGTTGTTACAATTTTTGCAGTTAATAGATCTGTTTTCTAATCACATGTATGGGCTGAAGTAGTTTTATTACAAGAAGGATGCAGTTGGAAGTGAATCTGAGCTCCTGGAAGAAAATGCATCTTCATTGTTTACATAACTTTTTTATTCTCTTACCAGATTTCAGGGATTATTTGTTTATATCCTTGGTCTAATGGCTCCCTTGGGAATTGAGCAGTATTCATCATTTTTCAAACCTTTCATTTTGTGATAACTGCAGGATTAGACTCGCAGTGATTTTTAGCAATCAAATGAAATTTCTAATTACCCGGAGAAGTTCTAATTAGTCTCCTAGAAATAATCAACAGCTACACCCTGTATTCCATCCTAGTGCAGTGCTTTGCAGCACCCAGACATCCCCCAGCTGAACAAATTCCATTGCACATTAACAACATCCTCTGGGTGCACGTGTGCTGTGAAGTATTTACAATTTGGGAGGCGGATTCACTTTATCCAGATTTATTTTCACAGTTTCCCTTGAGTTTCCCCATGCTCGTTGCTGGTTCACCTCTCTAAAGTGCCATAACCAAAAGAACACATCTAATAATAAACTTCCAGTTCCCTTTCTCACTGGTGCTGAACCAACTTCTGTTTTCGTTTGAGCTCTACAAGACACGGAGGTGCTTTAGAGGGAAGTTAAATTTGCCTTGTTTCAGGGCTGCTCTGGAATTACTGTCCAATTTCTGTGTGAAACATGAGTGTGTGCAGTGGGGTGTGTGGTGTGTTACTTTCTGAGTTCAGTGAAGCCACAGTTGCCAAAACACCTGCCCTGCCCTCCAGGGCACCATATCCGCTGCAGGAGGGCGAGGGCTTTGCTGGGTTAAGTTTAACCCCCTTCAGCTTTTTTGGGGGAGGTCTCTGAGGGCTGAGGCACCAGCACAGCTTCATCATCACCCCTGACCCCGTGAAACAACACAGAGCAAGTGTGTTGCAAAATTGCAGTGGTTAAATAACCCTGGGAAAAAAAAAAAAGACATTTTGTTTCTCTGACATACTTCTCTGTTCTACAAAAAGCTGCTGAGATGCTGCTGTTACCAGCTGTGCTTCAGAGAGCAGTGCCACGAAAGCAGCTGTAGTGACAACAAACAGCTCTGTGGCTCCCAACTCCAGATCAGCCCAGATCACAGCAGCACTTTTACTGGTGGTTTTACATGGCTAATCTAAAACCAACTTTTTTTTTTTATTTAATTCAAACAGAAGAAGTGTTGTGCCACCAATTTGCTATTTTTTTCTACCTCAATTAATGAGTATCATTAAAAATTTAATGAAGTTAAATGCACACTGCTAGAAGGGGTGATGGCACGTGCCCAGCCCTCGGGATTAGAGAAGAGAAACTCCCCTCCCACCCCGTCCTGACTTTTTAGGAACACGAGATGACATCATCCTTTTGGTGACAATCAAGGACTTCTCTGCAATTACAAAACAACTGACTTTTTATTTCGGCAGAACTAAAAAAATCATATATTTATCTACATCGTAGTAAAAACAATGAATTTATTTTTCCATCCTTCATATATTTCATCGACACATCGCAACCGAGCCGGGACACAGGGATCAGGCATGAGGTGACCCCGGGTGGGACAGCACACGAGGGCCCCCCCGGCGCGGTGTCACGGGCACCGCCAGAGCTTCAGCACCAAAAAAGATGCACTTAAAAGTGTTCTCCTCCTTCTCCTCCTCCTCCTCCTCCTCCTCCCAGCAAACTCAGCAGCAGGTCACTTTTTGCGTAGGGGCTGCAGCACATCACCCATTTCCAAAACGTGGTTGCCAAACATGAGAGATTACTATTTTGGGACACCTTTAAACAAGAATGTTTATTCATATTAAAGCAGAAACCAACTCATAAATGCTGTTTATACACGTGTGTGCCTGTAAAAGACAAAATGGGACAACTCAAGAAGAAAAGAAGGCTGCAAGAGAAGGATCCTCACTGGAGTCTGCGGTAACTCTTACAGAGTTCGTGGTCCCTGATGTCTCCCCACCCTCCGTTTTTGACGTGAGGGGACAGGGGAGCCATGGAGTACCTTTTACTGACACTCATCGTCTTGGGAAACAGGTACTGTTGGTTGCTGTTCAAGAGAGAGTCGATTTTGGCACTCTGGGTGGACGGTCTGCAGGATTTCTTGTGGTGCATGCCACAGTCCCCCGTGTGAAAAATCCTGGGGATCTCGGGAACCAGCACTTTCCAGAACTTTGGAAGACAAGAGACAGTCAAGTGCTGCAGAGTCCAGTCCCAGTTGTAGTCATCGTAGGTGCAGAAGGCGTCCGTGCACTCGATGAGCTTCTGGTAGGTGTCTCTGCCGAAGGCCATGCCCATGTTGTGCTCCGTGGACTTCCACGTCTTCATCTCCACCTTGTCGGCGCGGCCGGCGAAGCCGCCCCGCACGGGGCTGTAGGTGCCCAGGGACACCACCTGGCACTCGGGGCACTCGCGCTGGCGCAGGGCCCAGAGCTGCTTGAGGACGTGGTAGAAGTCGGGGGCCAGGTAATGATCCTCCTCCAGGAAGAGCACGGGCCCCGCGTGCTCCCGCAGCGCCCGCACGCGCTCCCACACGAA